TAATGTTAGAAAAATTCTTTGACCTTGGTGCTTTTGAACAAAATCAAGAAATTGTTGAAGAAAGCTCATCAATTACTTTTCCAAACCCTAATGGTATTGAGGATTGGTCAATTGATGACATTTTCACCCAAACGTAATCAATGTAATAAATCACTACAAGTAAAAATACTTGAATAAATAAATAAATAAATAGTGTAATTCGATCATATATTTTACTGGTAAAATTATAACTATGTCCTAGGAATATACTTATACCCGATTAGCATATTCCTATATTTATTGTGTGTGTTATAGTTATTCAGATCAGGCGTTTGTAGCTTCTCTTAATAAAATTAGAATAAGTTCTATACTTACAAACTAGTAGTTCAACACATAACTGAATAAATGAAATAAATAAGAAAAATTGTTAATCTTGGTAATCTTGAATCAGTATGTCTTACGTTATTAATAATTAAAATTCATAACATGTGACATGTGCCAAAAGCATACTGGGTGGCATCTTAGCATGAATTTGGGCAGATGGCATGCCACGTGGCATGCCAAATTTTTCTAGCATGCCAGACACCCTACTTCTACCTCTCAGTACTTATCATATTACTCCTAATTTATTTCTTGTACCACTTTCAAATTGGTGTCTCTCGAGTGGGCGCCCTTAATGCTTCCAGTTTGGTGTTCTCGAGATATTACTCTAAGGGCCTAGTTTGTATCTCAAACAGGTATGGGACCTGCTGCCGCAACCAGGATGTTATTTCACGATTCTCAAGCATTAATGTCATACACCACCAAATTAGGCTACCGATCCTTCTATAGTACTCCCTATTGGTATGGTGATACAGAGGTCTGGATCCTTAGGATAGGAGTTAAGTACCTCATTTAATTACTGTTACAATCCAGTAACCTGGGCCCTACGCCTCTGCCATGTTTCGTCATAGACTCTCATATAGGTTGTGTAACTATTACTCTCTAGCCTGTCTTGATTTTTGTACCACCGAATCACCTGCTTCTATATTTTCGGGGTTTCTTTTAGCTGATTTTTCTTGTTTCCTTGTGCCAGAGGTGTTCTATATTTGGTAAAGCCATCCTATTACCACAGCCCCTTACTATATTCACCGCTTCTCTCACTACTTCTGGATATATCGCATACAGCCATCCTCCCAAACAAGATCCCAATGCCGCCTTAGGGTTGTTGGTACTACCTTGCCAATTGCGGATTCACATGCATAGCCTTCTACAGTAATACCTTCTGTAACCCATGTCACATGCAGTGACCAGTCTTCTCCATAGCTTGGGGCTCCTTTCAAGAATTCTTTATCGGCCAAATATATACATCACATGGTCTTACCGCCACAGGGTTTCATATTCGAAAGCTCCCGAAGGTTACAAAGATAATTAATTAAATTAATTACCACCAGCTATAATTGAACTATTGATCTTGTCTGTGGAGAGTTAGGCACCTAGACCACTAGGCTACGAGACCCTAACCCCGAATCATGACGGATATTGGGATGGACAAAAGTTACTTTCCCAAGTAAAAAAAACATAGATATATTTGAAAGGACTCATCCAGGATATATTGGGGTTTGGGCATTTGATAATGCCACTAGTTACAAAGTTATAGCACCCAACACATTAGTAGCTGCTAGAATGAATTTAAAGCTGGTGGACAGCAGCCAAAGATAAAAAACACTGTATAGAATAGAGAAACCCAAATGATGATGTTCTCAGAGAATTATGGAGATGACTCTACTTTACGATCAGAACTAAAAGGAATGAAACAAATTCTTAAAGAGAGAAACCTTTGTAAAGATGGAATGTTAGCAGACTGTAAAGTATGTAAAAAAGACAAAGTAAATTCTGATATAGTAAATTGTTGTGCATGGCACCTTATTGCAAACTAGCCAGATTTTTTAAATGAACATGAATTAATTCAACAAGAGATTGAAAAACATGGTCATAAGGTAAGTAAATTACCCAAATATCAAATATAGAACTTTACAATTAAATAATCTTTATCTCAGATAATTTTCTATTCTAAATTTCACCTGGAACTTAACTATATTGAAATGTACCGGGGTGTAGCAAAGAGATATGTGCGAGAAAACTATAACTAAACATGGAAGGGACTACAAGAAAATGTACTAATTGCACTTGATTCCATTTTAGTTGAAATAAACAAAAAATATACAAGGCTTTCTTACTGATAGATAAACACTTATCGAAAAGGCTTATGGGCCAAGCAGCCTAGTATGCTGTCAAAAAGCAAAGGAGTCATTGCTTAATTAATTTGGTAGATTTGGTTGAAAATACCAATTAGTTAATTTTTTTGAATTTTTTTTAGCATTGATAAAATATAAATAAAATGCTTGTTAAAAAAAAGCAATAAATATCTTTACTTCCTAATAAGTTATAAGTTACAGAGTTAAGAGTTAAGAAAGTGTAATTTATATAGTGATTATTATATTGATTATGCATATGATAAAAAAAAATTAGATTGATTGTAATTCATAGTATCAAATATGTGATTATCAATTATGCATTTGATAAAAAAAGTAGAAAATTAAATAACGATAAAGTATAAACCTAAATTAATTGCGAAATGTACCTTTTAGAACATTTCAGAACTTGGATACAAATTTTATTCAATCTTGCTCATAATTTGTATTTAGTATTTTTTATTTCAGAGCTTTTTGATTTCAGTTAAATATTAGTTACATGATAAAAATAGGATATTTTTATTGGATAATATTAGGTTATACTGCAGGTAAAAAATTGGCACATATATATAAGAGGTGATGGATTTAGGTGAATTCCACTGTATAATTTTAAATAAATATTAAATATATTGATTTTATAAATAAATAGCTATTCAATATAATTATATTAAATATAAATAAAAATATATAATTAATAAATAAATATAATATTAATAAAATACTTGTAATTTCAAGAGTTTTAATTTTATATATTAATTATTATAAATCATATTTGTGAACATATTTATATTTATGTAAACATTAAAAAAAAAAATTATATTCACAAAAATCATTAAATTTTTTTTGAATTTTCAACACTGCTTGAGACCACCAATACAAGTATAGCTAGTATAAGTAAATACAGCAGTAACTGGGGCCTACAATTGTCAAAAATTACTATAAATAAAAATAATAATACATCTGTTAAGAACCTCTAGATCTCATAATCCTATCCAACTATATTGGGTACTGGAAGCATTTGTAAAATATGCTTGGGCAGTCTTATCACTATATTGAAAAATACAGTTGTTTACATATTACTGAATTCGAAATATTAAAACCTGAGTTCCAAAGTTGCAGGAAACTAGCTAGTTATAGCAGCATACAGGCTTGAGATACTTACTTATTTAGGTAGAGACAGCTGCATAGCTTGAGATATAAACTCCTGGAAGTATGCTAGTTGAAACTAAGCACACCAAACTAGAAACAATAAGCACCTATCTAGTACACACCAATTTGAAAGTTAAGATATTAGGTATGTAGATAAAGTGATGAATATGTGAATACTAATTGGTAATTGGGAAGAGATATACATCAGCAAATTTATAAGGCCGTAATATTTCGTAATAATTTACGAAATGTAAAAAAGCCGTAATATTACGTAAGAAATTTCGAAATATTGCGAAATATCAAATTACGAAATATTACATAAGATATTTTCGAAATATTTTGAAATATTTCGAAATATTTTACGTAATATTATGGCTTTTTTACGTTAAGCAAAAATTTTCGAAATAATTCGCATACATGCCACAAACTTATATTTTGGTTTCGTATCACCAACTGACCTCCCATAACCCGAACGCACCTAGTATTACCACCAAAATTATGTATGTATATACGTACGAAGACCTTTATTATCATAATACAAAATATTTTTCTAAACCGAACACACACAACTTTATTCATGTCGAAT